TTGAAAACCCTTATAGTCTTCCTCTTTAGTATCTCAGCCCTTAGATCCCATACATCCCAATGTGTAGATAAAAAGCAAGATGGCAAGACGGTTTATGTGAACACTAGATTATCTTGTGTATCTAGTAAGGTGTTTCTGTGTGTTTATATGTGCATATGTGTGCACACACGTGTAGGGGCCACAGGTCAACCCATGTTTTCTTTCTCAGGTACTACATTTGAGCAGGTTATCTCCCTATGGTCTGGAGCTCACCAATTCACTTGGGATGACTGGCCAGTGAGCACCAGAGAACTGTGTGCCTTTGCATTCTTGGCTATAGAATGGCAACTATGCTCTACCATGTACAACTTTCTATGTGGGCCACTGGGATTGACTCATATCCTCATGCTTATTCTTCAGATACTTTACTGATCAAGCCACCTCTCCAGGTCAAAGGCAGTTGTTGAATTTTGCATTGCAATTTTATTGGGAAGACTGATCTTCAGCACCATTCAGATTCCTTATTTATTGCACAGCTCCTGGGCTCTAGTCTCTAGGTCCTGGAGCCTTACATGGTAACAGAGGAGAAACTTCCTTTTGATTTCAGGACCCCAGGAATTGAGCAGATGGAAAAATGTCTATTTCCACACACACACACACACACACACACACACACACACACACACACACACACACACAGTGTAAATAATACATCAAATCCCGATATAATCACTACATTTGGTCACTTGTCATCTTAGGAAAGCCAGCATGTTATTAATTAGCAAAAGACACATTTGATACAATATTCCAAGCAATGTGCCCTTTTCTCCTTCTAGCTGTTTATGTAAAATGCTTTGTTTTTATGGTTAAAAATCTTATAATCATATTCTCTTTGTGCTCACAAAATACCATTTGGCTTAAAGAACTGATGTTTTCTCTGGTAACTTCCACATGGCATCTGCTCAAACTACTGCATTAATTTGCTAAATGATTATGTCTTTGCACTTGCCTTGTGGAAGCCTATCTTTTGCTAATTCCCCTTCCCTACAACTTCAGCAAGCTACTGCAAAACTCCAGTCTGTTCCATCTGGCAGGGACATTGCCTCCTAAGTGGAATTTGGGTGGGGTTTACAGTCCACAGGACATTTGTTTCTGCCAAAGTTTTAAACTATGGTCTTGAATAGTTTATGTTAACTTCCTCCTAGGTTTCCCAGTCTGGAAAATGGGTAAACTAATGTTAATTCTCTTATGGTATTACGGTGGTGTGAAGAACATAGTGTCTGGTATGGAGTAAATTCTTAGTCTTTACTTTCTTGATAGTGTTATAATTTTCATCGTAGAACAAGTACAAGTCTTTGAAACCAGACACACTGTTAACTGTAGTACTTAGTGAGCTTGTTGGTAGAAGTATATTTCCTGATTTTCTAAATAGAATTTGTATTAAGTAACAGTATGAAATAATGCTGACATGTTATTTTAATGACTACCTTAGACAACATATACAATAAGATATTGTAATGCATCAGATCATGTCATGGACCTTATTGTTATTCAGTCCCCATACCAACAATATCCTATCTTGTTGCCCATTCCTTGCTTAGACTACAGGTGTTTTGAGAACTGTAGGAGGTTTCATGGGAAACTTCATTGAGAACGTCTGCTATTTACTAGTTACAGAAACCCCTTCATAGTTATTTCTCTGCAGGTGTATGTGTAAATGTTTTATTTGAGAATACTTTTATCCCTAGGTACTCGAGAGTGTTTTTAATTCATGTCATGTATATCACCTTCCTGGAAGTATGCCTGGGAGTATGCCAACGTATGTGTTTATTCACTCCTCCAGAGTGTCTGCTGTGTGTTGACTATGTGGAAGGTAGTGCTTCAGGTATTTGATATGATCAATAAATAAACGAAATTCAGATGCATTTTCTTATGAAGCTTACATTCCCATGAAGGGAAGACAGACAACAAACAATCATATAAATATACTATGTAGAGTGCTAGTGGCTATGATAGATATAGTTTGTAAGTAAAGTTAGTGTAAAGAAACTTGATCAAGTAGAAAGAGATTGAAATGTTAAATGGGGTGATTCACAATGACTTATTGAGAAAGTGACATTTACACAAACATTTCGGAAAGAGTTACTCGGAGTCTAACTGAAAAGTAACTTCCCCAAATTTCATAAAACTGTGGAACTTTGAAACTTGTTTCTCTAATTCCAAAAATTCTCCCATGACCCCTACTCTGCTTTTGCTTTACTTGGAATTTGTATGGTTTGAACTTGCATATGTCTTGTGCATATTGTGGCAACTGCTATGAGTTCATATGTGCAAATGCCCCGCTGCGTTTGGAAAACAACTTCCCAGTAGTCATCCATAGCTTCTGGCTCTTCAAATCTTTCTGCCCCGTCCTCCACAGTGGTCTTTGAGCCTTGGTAGGGTGGGGGTACAATACAAATGAGAAAGGTGTGTCTCATTTAGAGCTGGGCGTACTGAAGTCTCTCATTTTGTGTGCATTTAACTAGTTATAGGTCTCTGTGTTAATCAATAGAGGCTTTTCAGATGAAGGTTGCCAGGTGCACTCACCAATTGGCATAATGATAAGTCCTAAGTTAGTTTAATCTTGTGCCTGTTTACCAGAATAATAGTAGTAGGTTGTTCCCTAGAGCCTATGACCTGCCTAGTCATAGGCCATTGGTCTTGATAACAATGTCAAATATGGGTTTCAAATTGTGAAACAGGCCTTAATCCAATTGGAAAGTGCTTGGTTACTCTCATGACATTCATGCCACTGTTGGACTATCAGGAATGTCTTGCCAGGCTGGTTGCTATTGTAGGTTGGAAAATTCACAGGTAGGTAATACTGATGGTTAGTTTCCCCTCTTGTAGTGTACCTAGAATCTTCCCACACCATGAAAGCTTGCCGTTAGGGAGTAAGCTTCCATGGGAGTACTACTGTGATTTCTCCATGTCTTATGATTCAATTATCTCAGCAACAGGGTCTTACTGTCGAGTCACATTTGTTGTAGCTGATAAAAATGGCATTGTTTTCAAAGCCATAGTTTACAGTAGAGTCATCCACTATATGTATTGTTGATTCTATGTATGTTCTGTCAATGTCTTATTCTCTCTGAGTTTTGACAAATGTATAATTCTGTGGTGCATTATATATATGCATTTATATATAGTGCAGATTGTACAGTCTGTTAATTTCAACAAGTCCCTGACATGCATCTATTTTTATTGTACTACAGAGAGTAGTTATACTGCCATTGTGTGCTACATAGTTATTCCCTCCCAATCCCAGGAAATCAATGATATTTTTCTTTTCCCATAGTTTTACCTTTTCCAGAGTATCATGAATCATAGAGTACAGTCTTTTCAGGGAACTTCTTTAACTTATCAGTATGCATTTAATATTTCTCCATATTTAATGTAGTTTAATAGCCCATTACTTTTAACATATAAAGCAAAGTTCTACTGTGTAGTATAGATTTGTTTGTCTGGTTTCTGAGTTTGTCTTTGCCTGGTTTTGAGCCTTGGTTGTTTTTGATAGAAATAAAGTCTATATCCCACACGTTTCTGTTTTCAGAGCCTATGTACTGAGCCATTATAGACCCACGACAATCAATACAGATGTAGGACCAGCAACCAGGAATAGCCCCTGAAGCAGAAAACTTTGGAATTATTTTAACTATTCAATCCTAGGTCAGATGACCCCACCTTGTCCTCTCCTTTGGGGAAGCATAGATACACATCCATAGTTCCCTCTTCCTGCCTTATGAATAGCTATGGTGTTTCTCTTGTTGTCAAAGCATTATGTGCTGTTTCTCCCCTGAGGACTCTGATTATTCACAAATTTTATAAAATTGCTTTCTCTGTTGATCTATGTCTGGCTTCAGCAGAGCTCACCCATGGTATCAGGCAAAGCACATTGTGTACACACAGTTTATGTTGCATTCATTTATTGAAAACTTTCTCCAATACTTCAAAGTCTCAGCAACAATGAATAAAGCACTACATACATTCCCATTCAGGTATGTGTGTGTCCATACATGTTCAACTCTTTTGAGTAAATCCAAAGAAAGTAATTGTTATGTGTGGAAAGTATAGTTTGCTTTGTAAAATGCCACTAAATGGTTTCTCAAGTGTTTGCCATTTTCCAGTGTCATCTGCAATGAACGAGAGTCTATATTGCCCAACAACCTTGTTGGCACTTGGTACTGTCAGTGTTTGGGGTTTAGATATTCTAACAAAGTGTAGCGGTTACTGCAGTTTGGGTATTAGAAGTGCCCCCAAAAAGGATCGATTTCTCAAAACTTGGCTACCATGCTAGCTACATTAAGAGGAGATGTAATCATTATGTGATGGAGTCTACAGAGAGGTTCTTAGACCATTGAGGCTATGTCTTAGAAGGTAGTTCTATGCGACCCTTGGATGTGTCTCTCAAGAACATTGTTATAAAATCCTGAGCTTGGACCCGGTGTCTAGAGGTGATTGAAGCCAAATCTGATAACCTGAATTGGATCCCATATCACAATGGGAAAGAACTGACTTCATCATGTGGTCTGACATCCATACCTGCTCCAAGGCTGCTTGTGCACATGCATGTGCTCTCTCTCTCTCTCTCTCTCTCTCTCTCTCTCTCTCTCTCTCTCTCTCTCTCTCACACACACACACACACACATACATATGTATGTATGCACAAACACACACTTGTGCACATATATGCTCACACGCATCCCATGAAATGTAGGGAACATGGGCTGGCTCACCTTTTCTCTTTCTCTTTGCGGTTTAGAATCTATTCACCTGCTTGCTTCTGGTTATCGTCTGCTGTAGTCCATACAGTAACCCAACAAAGCAACAGTGTCTCTTGTGTCTGCGCCATACTGCCTATACTTTCAACCTCCATGGTCATGACGCAAGCACACATTTCCCTTTATAAGACAGCAGTCTCATTTATGTTGTTGTGGCAATGAAAAGCTGACTGACACAATGCTATCCCATTACCATTTCAGTTCCCGACTCTTGAGTGACAGAGTGCCAGGACGTTGAGCATCTTTTCAACGCTTGCTTTGGTAAGTATCTGTTCATATGTGCTATTAAATTTTTAAGTGTATTGTTAATTTTTTGTATTGTTTAGTTTTAAGAGCTCTTCATATATTTGGATAAAATATTAATTATGCCTGTTATCTGTAATCTCTTTCCAGATCGCTGTCTTGTTCTTTGAGCTTCATAGCTGTATTCATATAATTGATGGTCTTTTGTAGCAATTTTAATTTAAAGTATATCTTGTGAGTTTGTATTGAAGAAACAAATTGAGGACTATTAACTATGAATTCCTATTACTGTAATACTCTAATATGCACCAGGTGCCAAATAATCAATACATCAATTAAATACTTAGATACATCATATTTTTAGATACGTGAGAGATAGCAAGCAAAGCCGTCTCTTTATTAAATAGATTCATAGTATATTCTGAGTGAAAACTAATAAAGATGCAGAGACAGATTAGAAATTCAGAGAACACTAATTAGAAATTCAGAGAACAGATACCTGTTGGGTGCACTTACCAAAACCAGTTTGTGATGACATGAGGGTTGACCCTGACCTACAAGGTCAGATAATTTGTGGACAAGTAGCAAAGAATAAATGCAAACTATCTGTAAGGTGCCTTACAGTGAAGTGATTCAAACATTATAAATAGTCTGTATTATACAGCTAGTCCCTAAGATGGTGGAGCACACAGCTTCCAGATAAGTCAGTTACATGAAAAGACCAGAAAGACCCTGATTCCATATATAAAACACTTCTATTTTCTATTAACTCCTGTTAGGTATCATGCATTTGATGCCTGAAAGCATTTAATATTTAAGTAGTACTAGGGAAATGTACCTATTGGGCTAATACATCTTTAATTTAGGGGATCTTTCATTTTCTTATTGAGTACGTATATATTGGGCTCTCGTTCATGAATCCTGGGCCTAAAAGATGAACAGACTATACTCCCTGACTGAAGTATCTGAGAGTCAGTGACCCTGTGTACGCCATGATTCAACGTCATTCATGCCATTTCACATGTGGAAAGAGAGTGATGGAGGACCGTGGAGGCTGTGAGAACACTGGCAATGTGGGTAGAAGAGGGGTTCTCCATTTTCTTTCACTTGTATTTATCCTCCTCACTCCTTCTTGAACAGTTTTCACAGACGCTTTAGGGGATGGAGCAAATGGGTGTCCTCGGGGAGTAGTAACAGGGAACCTCCATGATTCTCCCAAGGCGGAGTCATTGCAGGTGAACTGTGCTCTGTGAGGAGTGTTTGGGGTAGGAAGCTCTGTCCTACAGGAAAGTCTTGCAGAATGTGGGAGTCAAGCTCCAGCATGATGGGAGGATGTCCAGGGCCTGGATTCTAGGCAGACATAGTGCTGTGGAGGTGGAGAAAATAAAACAAACATGGAAGGAATAGGGTGAAGCAGATTTCTGTGTTGTTGTTGTTGTTGTTGTTTTCCTGCCAGAGAAGGTGATTAATTCCATATATTGAAATGAGAAAATAAAAATGTAAAAGTGGACTTTGTATTTCATTAGAACTGTAGTTATCAAAGTAAACTCATGAATTTTCCTCTTCATGTATTCACAGGAATAACGATCTCCGCCGTGTGTGTGTGTGTGTGTGTGTGTGTGTGTGTGTGTGTGTGTGTGTGTATGGTGTCTTTCTGTGTGTAATCTCTGCACATTCTGCACACTGATGATCCTTAAGCACAGTGAAAAACCAGTTACAATAAACACAACAATTATCTGGATCTTTTGTGTTATTCAATAGCTGGGGCACTAAGATTCTGAGATGAGCCTATACAGTCTTGAGTTCCAGAAAGCAGTGAAGTATCAGTGATGAGAGCATGCCAAGCACACAGAATTTATCTGGAAGGAGCTTCCATTGCTCAATTTTGGGGCAAATTGGAGCATTTGGTTAATTAGCAAGAGCAGCAGATTATTGCTTCTTCACTAAAACAGGTCAATGTCCATACCTATGTGACTAAGTAAATAGACATTGGAAACAGCATGAGGAATGGGGGCATTTAGGTCCTGGTTAGCCTTGTATTGTGTTCACATCACAACAGGAAATCCTAGAGGTCATATCTAAGGACAGATGAAGTGTGAGGCTTGCTTAGCAAAACCCACTTATATGGAAATCAACCCAATCCTATAAGAGTAAGATGGCAATCTTTTAGCAGCAACAACAAAAACAAAATGCCCATCCATCTCTTTTAATGTACCAGTATCTCTCAGTACTATTGGTTCAGGAATAAATATTTTCACAAGGAAACACATCTCTAAACTATGGCAATGCCATACAAAGGAGTGTTTCCCTCTGTGTACTTATTAATTGAAAAAGGAAAAAGGAACTGCTCAGTTGAGCTATTGGGCAGAAAATGTCTCACCGAGTATTGAATGAGCACGATTGAAATGGGAGGGACCGTGTGTGCCTGAAGAGATGCAATGAATTACACACGGTGGTATGTCTGAAACATTGCTGAAAATGTAAGGGGCTGACTCTGAGCATAGAGGAACATCACACAGAAATTAAAATTAAATGGAGTACTGGATAAAAACTTTTTTGTGATCTACAAACTGTTGAGGTCATGGGAGTCAAGCAAATATGGAGGATCCATTCCCATTAAATGGCAAAACGGAGGTAATAAAAAGCATTGTGGGATTCTGGATTGGACCATTCTGCTATGAAAATATCTTTGTGAGACAGGAGAAATAAATGATGTTAAATTAAATGGGAGCACTATATCAATATCAATTTCCTAATGTCAATGGTTGCATATGTAATATTGGAAATATAGTCTTATAATACATTGTCTTCATTTATGAGGTTCAAACTTTGTGGTATTTGGTCTTGATTGTCAACTTGACAACTTAGAATCACCAAGGAGACATACCTCCAGCATGTTTATGAAGTGTTTCCAGAGAAGATAAATGAAGGAGGATGACACAGTCTCAGTGGAGGCACCATCCTAAGGGTGGCTTTGGGGAAAAAGCAGTCACCCTGATCACCTTCACTTCTTCCTGAGTGGACGTGTCCATCACTGCTGGTGCCATCCTCCACTTGCCTCAGGCTTCCGCCTTCCAAAGAGGGCTCAGTACTAGAAACTATATTTGTTCTCCCAGGTTTTCAGTGACTCAGGATGTCTGATGCATCCAGACTCATGACCTGTAAACCTGTAGGGTTTTGCAGATGGTCCTTATTGGATGACCCAGACCTATTGTCTAACAAATCTCCTTTGATTATTCAGATCTGTCTGTCTGTCTGCCTGCCTGCCTGTCTGTCTATGCCAGTGGTTTTCAGTTCCTCATGTTGTGGTGACCCCTGCAACCATAAAATACTTCCTGTAGTTTTGCTACTGTTATTAATTGTAATATAAAAACAGGATATGCAGACTATCTGATATGTGACCCCTGTGAATATAGTATGTGTTCTATTGGTTTTATTCCTTTAGAGAACTTTGACCAATATGTGTAACACAGTGTTTGAGACTGTGGATATTGTGCAACAACACACTATCAAATGACTCAGGGAAAACTCTTCTCTGTACGGCAATGCAGCAGCTAGGAGATGCTCTCTCTTTGTGCAAACACTTGATTTCTAAGGTAACGGTTCTGAGAGTAACTGGTGCTTTTAAGAGGGACTGGTGCTTTCCTTGAAAAACTGAAGTTTTGTTTTCATGTGACTTGGGTCGGTTTCTGTAGAAATGAATTTTGCTGAGCAAGTTCCCTGCTTCCCTGCCCTTACACATTCATGTCACTTACCATTTAGGCTGTTCTGTTATGACTTGAACGCAGCAAGAGGATTACCAGAACTCTGGAAGATTCCAGAACCATACTCATGATCCTCTAGAATTGTGATCTAAGTATATTATTCTTTATTGATGAAGTGCCCAGTCATAGATATTTTGATAGTAGAGAACATATATGTACAGCATCTTTGCAAATTTGTGATTTCTTAAGAAATGAAAGGTAGCAAGCAGGTGTTTGCTGGCCAAAGTGTGTGATACAACAGCTCATGAGATTAAGGAAGGAAGAACGCAAGTTCAAGGCCTTCCTGGGCTACAAACTGAACTCAAGGGAAGCCAAAGCAACTTAATGAGAGACCCTGTGTCAATAGTAAAAGTGTTAGGGATGTAGCTTAGTGGTAGAGCATTGCTTAGTATGTGTAAGATCCTAGGCTCAATCCCCAGTACTAAAATGGAAGACAGAGACAGAAATGAACAAGGAGAGAAAAAAAGCATTGAATGATCCCAGTGTCCAGCATGTTGAAGTCTTTGGTAACCAACTTGTAGTAATGGTCAAATATAGAGACAAATGCAGAAAGTAAGCTCACTGGGCAGCCTCTTCAAAGGGATATTGTACTCCCCTGATCTCTCTCTCTCTCCTCCCCACCTCTTGATTCTAGCCATCATGAGGTAAGCAGGCCTCTTCCATTCCATTCCCTATCCACGGCATCCTGGGCTGACACAGGCCTCAGACACAGGGGCCAAGCAACCAGGAGCTGAAACCACGAGACAGTGAGCCCACATCAGCTACTCTTCGAGGTCGATTCACATGAGGTGTTCTTTACAGTAACATAAACCAGGCTAACACAAATCATCTGTAATTATGATTGAGAGTGCAGTTGTGGAAAACAACACCAGAGGGTTGCCTAAAATAGCTTTCAGTGAACAGCTGCTGCTGGGATTTCAGATGTGAGGTCCAGACCTGGTTTTGTACTTTAGCAACGAAATGCCCTCAGTTAAAGCACCTAATTCCCTGGGTAGCTATTTCTTCATCTTCAAAATGTAAATTGATATAGTTTTCTTCCTGCTTTAAAATTCAACCCTGCAGTTTCATCTTAATATGTTATAGCTCACCCCCAGCTCTGAGGGGTTCTGTTGGTGTTTGTTTGTTGTTACAACATCCTTTGCATCTGTCTGCCCCAGGGAGGTCTCTGACTAATGTAGCCCCATAGTCTGGCAGCTAGGCCACTATGGCTCCATTTAATCCTCCTCAGGCAGGCAGGATTAGTGTTTCTGATGCACTGAGCTCTGGAAGGGTAGCACACCCTGGTTTAACAGTTAGAGATAAATCCATGTTCTCTTCTGTCCTGTATAATTCCAGCAGCATGAGTTGATGCTCACTTGGGAACTTGCCACAGAGAACATTCCCTTGGAGGGCCTCCAAATGTTAATTCCGGGGATGATGGCAGTTCCAGGAGGGGCCAAGCCAGATGGGCAAGACTGGACAATAATAGGAGTCTCATCTCTCCACACCAAGGCCTGTCT